CATTCTTCAAAGCTTGCAAGAGTTTCACGGATGGAGGGCGGTGCCTTTTCAAAATGTGGCTCTCGCTTTTGCGCCGCGCACAACTTACAGCCGCTCCAAAGATTCAAAGATTCTTATGGTTGACGTCCCAGAAACGGTGCTTGTGGCACGATGTACAACTGTCAGCGCGCAACAGTTACGTTGACGTTGATTCGCGGTGCTGACATCCCAGGAATGGTTTTCTGGCAAGATTCAGGATCGCCAGGACGCAACAGTGATGTTGACTCGCGGCGTTGAGTCCCAGGAATGGTGGTCTGGCACGGTTCAGGATCTTCAAGCTGTTCTCTTCCAACGGGGCACTTCCCACAGTGAAAATGAACCCATTGTAGGCACTGTGAGGAAGTAACTTGGAGGGAAGGTTGATTGCAACATCGTTGATGAGTCTTGGATTTACACTGGTCCTCCCATCCTCCTCCTCCTCCTCCTCCTCCTCCTGCTCCTCCTCCTCTTCCTCCTCGCCGTCATCATCCGCATCGTCCTCGTCGCCCTCGCGTCTGTCCCATTTCTACTCTAGAGCTGCGGCTGCTCGGCAGCCGCGCTCCTCCGCATCCTCCCGCTCTTTCCCCTCACCCTCCCCAAAAGAGGGGAGAGACAGTAGGGGGAGAAAAGGACGAGAAGAGGAGAAGGAGAAGGAGGAGAAGGAGGGGCGAGAAGGAGATCAAGAAGAGGAGGAAGGAGGAGGAAGGAGGAGGAAAAGGAAGAGAAAAAAGACGAGGGGGGAGGAATGAGACGGAATGAGGAAGGAGGATGGGGAGGAGGAGGGAGGAGGAGGAGGCGGAGGAGGAGGAGGATCGAAAAATAATTGGATACTGGAAACATGATCAAAAGTAATCAGGAAATCGTCCACAGACTATCTTTTGACTATTTTTGAATATTCCTCCAGATTGAACTATATGCTACGGAGAGAACCATATACCGAAGAATTGCCCCAGACAAGCCTCTGGCCCACCGCAGCCGAGCCTCCCAGACAACCTCGGCGGCCAAGCCTGGGCAGGGCAGTTCTTTCCACAGAAGACTGGCAGCCTTGCTGACGTGATCTATCCACGCAGCCTTGCTGAAGGGATCCATCCACGCTACTGTCGTTGACTGCAAGCGCCTGCAACAGCTCGCATCTCTGTGGACACACATGCACGGCAGGATGACCAGAGGGAAGAGAAAGGCAGGGGGCGGACTAGAGCGCCAAGCGGGACGGAGAGGCGGAGAAACGAAAGGAAGGAAGCGATCGGATAAGAGCGAGGAAGAAGTGCAGATGGACGACGACGGCGGCGGCGACGACGACGATGACGGCAACAGCGATTCCTCAAAACCAGCGCCTGGACCTGTCCTGGGGCGCAGTCTGACCAGGATCCTGAGGCGAATTCGGCCGCGGCGACGTGAGCCCAGAGGCCTGAAAAGTGCGAAAAACGTCAAAATTTGTCTGGACGACGACGACGACGACGACGACGACGACGACGACGACGACGACGACGACGACGACGACGACGACCCCGTGTTGAGGTCAAGGCAGGTGGCGCGGCGACGCCTGTCGGACCTCGCGAAGAAGGCGTGGTCCTCCAGAAAGTCGACCTGGTCCCGCAGGGGGGAAAAGAGGAGGAGGAGGAGGAGGAGGAGGAGGAGGATCGGCTCTGATGGAAGAGAACCGACCTTGCAGACGTGCTGCAGTAAATTTTTGCGTGGAGTCCTGTCAGTGCGAAAAAACCCGAAACGACGAGCGAAAAACGAAGTGAATTTCACGTGGAATGTGTTTGTTAGCCTTCATTCCCGTCCGAAAGAAACCCACACGAGATTCACTTCGAAATCCGGAACGACAATCTCCAGGACACCCCGGGTCCATCCCATTCTTTTCCGAACGACATCCGCTCTGCGGTGTTGGCGCCATGAGAGAAGAGGGGGATTTGGTGACTATCTACCAGACCACCCCACCCCAACCCCAAGGCCCGAATCGGACCCGCACGGGTTCCAGGTGCCTTTACACTGCTCCCCGACACCCCCACCCCACACTGGAAAGGGAGGGCAAAGTGAAGCCTTCGGGTTGGGTTGGGGTGGGTTTGGCGGCCCAGCCTGGGACCGAAACCGACGGACCTGGACCCGCAAAAACGACGGCCGCGATGCCCTCTCGCGAGCCGAAAACGGCCAATTCCTTCATCGACGTGTCAGGGTAGGAGCTCTGTCCCTCCCCGAAATAGGAAGGCACCAACTATACACCAACACCGATCCTGGCCAGGATCACCCTGGGCCCAGGATCGGTGTATACGCCCTCCTGCCTTGCTTAAGAAGGCATATACACCGATCCTGGGCCCAGGGTGGTCCTGGGCCAGGATCGGTGTTGGTGTATAGTTGGTGCCCTCCGACGAAAGTAGCGAGTCAGCTAGACTGTGGCTGGTCCTCCCGACGCCTCACGGCGCCGGAGGCGGCCGTGCCTCGCGGGGAGGCCGCGCCCCGCGGCAGAGCCGGCACCGGC